AAATGTAAATATATATATATTCAACATAAATAATAATATTTATCGTATATTATTATTATTATCTAGTCATATTAAATATATATATATATCAATAAATTAAAAATTTTAACACTTTTTTTTATTTTTGATCGTTTGTTTGTTTGTTTGTTGTTATTAAATTGTTTTTTAATTATTATTATTATTTATTTATTTATTTATTTTTATTTAAACAACTCGCACGTTATGGTTTTTTTTTTAAACAAATTTAATTAACGATGATAATAATAAATGATTTTTTTTTAAACGTGGTACATTTTCAACGATTGTTTTAATTTGTTTGTTTGTTTGTTTCCGTTACATTTAAATTATAAAACTTATTAATAAATAAATAATTAATTATTTTCTTAATGATGATTATTTTTTTTAAAAATTATTGTCATATTCTTCCTTTAAAAAAAAAGGTAGGGAATGAATAAAAAAACGGTAGGTTTGAAAAGGATGGGAAGTGGGGAGGTTGGGGTTGCGGGGAAGGGGGGAAGAAGAGGAAGAAAATTGAAATTTTATAGGAAGAAAAAAAAAAAGATAAAAGTTTTTTAAAAAAAAAAAAAAAAAAAAATCAGTTTCGGGAGCAATTTATGAAATAGAAAAGTGACGATAATCTTAGAAAAGCCCAAATTGAAAACGCTTGTAAGCTATGGGAATAAAAGTTTCAATGAAAAATAAAAAAAATAAATAATAAAAATAAAGTCGAAGTGAGAGAGAGAAAAAAAAAGGAAAGGAAATATTCAAGACAACGGCAGCAACAGCAACAGCAACAGCAGAAACACAAACAACAACAACAACAAAAGCACCAAACAAAAGCAAAAATAGATTTTTTTTTTATTTTATTTTCACCCCCCGGAAATTATAATAATAATAATAATACTTTCGCGGTTTCTATCCATAATCCTCCTTCCCTTTTTCACATTAATAATAATAATAATAATAATAATTTTTTTTTTTTTTTAAATTCTCTCCATTCGTTTTAACTTTGACCTTTTCTTACTTACTTAAAAACTTTTTACCTTAAACAAAATATTTAATTTTTCGTTATTTATTTAATATAAACAAAAAAAAAATTGTTTTCTCTTTCTTTTTTCATTTAAACCAATCTTCTATCCTTTTTCCCTGTCTCCCTAACTCCTCCCTACCTCCCTGACTCCGCCCTACCACCCTGACACCTCCCTCCCTCCTCCCTACCACTCTGACACCTCCCTGCCTTATGGCCTCCTAATTAAACTCAAGTTAAAAAAAATTTATCACAATAACAATAATAAATAAAATAATTATAAACAATTTACATAAAATTTACAACAAATATACATATATGTATACATAAATATATATTGATAGAAAAAATAAATAAATAAATAAATAAATAGAAACAAATCTCATTTTAAATTAATAACAAATTAGTTTTTATACATAAGAGGTACATGCATTTAAAAAAAAAATAATTATTAAATATTAATAATAATAATAATCAAATTTCATTTAGAAAAAAAATTTTTACAAAAAAAAAAAAAAAAAAAAAAAAAACAATTATTATTAATCAGTTTGTATATCAGGTACTCGTTTATTATTATTATTATTATTATTATTATTATTATTATTATTATTAAAATAAATAAACAAAATAAATTTTCTTTTTTTTATGTGTGTATATGTTAATTCAATCTCTCTTCACAAGGAAATAATAAAAAATGATAATAATAATAATGAAAAATTGTTTAATAAATTTTCCATGACACACAAAAGTTCCCCAAAAAAAAATCAGTTGTGATAATAATAATAATATTTCTACAAAAAAAAAAAAAAATTCTCAAAATGAGTTGATATAAGTAATCAAATTCTGTAGAAATCTTTTCTTTTTTTTTTTTAATGATTTCGTGTTTAAAAAATGAATGGATAGATATATAGGTAGATAGATAGATAGATAGATAGATAGATAGATAGAAAGAGATAGAAAGAGATAAAGAGAGAGAGAGAGAGTAAATGAGACAAAAAAAAAAAAAAAACTTATCCAAGATGTTTCATTGTGTAAGAGCAGTAAAAAAATCATAATAATATATATATATATAAACATATATATATACAGTTTTTTTTTTTTTTTTTTTTTTTAAAAAGTTTTTTTTTATGTTTCTGTAAATGTTAATATAAAAATAAAAATAATAATAATAATATCAATAATAATAATAATAATAACAGTTGACGTAAAAGTCCAGACCTATTTTTTTTTTTTTTCCTTTTTCTTTTTCTTTTTTTTCCTTTTTGCTCCTTTTTAAATTCATAACAAAGTTTCCCGAAAAAAAAAATAATAATAATAATAAGAATAAGAATAAGAATAATAATAATAATAAAAAAAAGAAAGTAAAATAATAGATGATGAAAAAAAAAAAAAAAAAATTTTTTTCATGAAAAAAAATGTCATAATCTAGTTATAGTGTAAAGATATTTTAATTTATTTTCCGGACTATACGTTGAAAATGATTTTAATACGCTGAAATCGATGACCGTGCAATTAGGGGATTCAAATGCGTCACTTCCGTTTCTATTATCGTCATCCATTGTGGATTTAAATAAGAATTGCCTACGATCGTCGGATGATTTTAAACAAATTTGATAATTAAATCTTTTCGCCGCTTCCTTGGGTCCGATATATTGAAAACTCTTGTATAATTTTTTCTTTTCGCAATCGTAATTCGAGAGCATCCAAAAAAGTTCTTTTTCAATGACCAACAATTTACCAAATTCGTCCGATGACGTGTCGTTATGTTCGAATTTTCTCGAACCCGCAAAATTCCATTCTTTTTTCCATATATCTTCCTGGTGTAAATTTTCAACGTGCGATTTCAATTCGTCTTTTTTACCTATCCAATCGCAATTATCTATTTTACACCTGTGAACAATGTACCCGCATTTTTTCAAATGTGTTTCTTCGTCTCTTAAATAATAAACCTGAAACGACAAAATCCGGGATATGAACGTATCGATTCCCCTTCCCCCTCCCCCTCCCCCGGGAGACCAAAGGAAAAGCTAAAAACCTCTTCGCAGCCACCAATCGTGTTCGGACAAGGATATTTAACATATTCTGCTATTTGTGCTAACATTATGTTCTTCGCCTTAACAAAATCCGCACTACATATCGGACATTGACTTAATCGACATCTGCATTTAACGCATACAGAATGTCCATTGCTGGAAAATAACAAACCGTTGAATAAAATCCTATTTTATCGGTCCTAATGAAATTATCATTATTATTATTATCCATTCGTTTATCTATTTAAAATCCTTATAAACGTTAATTACCTTACCTACATATATCAACCGACGGCCTTATCATTTCATAACAAACCGGACAACATAAAAGTTGTTGAAGTTTTTCTATCCATTCTTTATTAACCGCGCTTGCTGCATCATCTTTTAAAACACCGTCATCTGTATTTATTTATTATTACTTATTTATGTATTATATACATAAATTTATTTTTTTTTTTTAAATAAATTTCTATTGCTATTTGTTTATTTGTTTGATCATTTAAACATATAGTCCTGTTTACATTTAATGATTAGATAAATAAATAAGGAGGGAAAATTTTAAAGAAATTTGGTTAGAAAAGAAAATAAAGAAAAGAAAAGAAAAAAAAAAAGGGAAGAGTTGAAAAAGTTTTTTAAAAATCATCAATCATACCATTTTCATCAGACTTTCCTTCTTTCCTGCTTCTTTTAACAGGAACTACAGGATTTTCATTATGTGACATTGTAAACAATTGATTCAAAGCTCGTTTTAATAAACCTAACATCAAATAATAATAATAACAACAAAATCAATTTGTTTACTTCGGTACAAATGTAATGAATTAATTTTTAAATTTTTTTTTTTTTTTTTTTTTTAAATTTAATTGGCATTTGTTAACAGTTGTAAATTTATTTATTATTTTTTTTTTATTGATAAACAATTTTGTTTTCTTTTTTTTTTTTTTGTTTGTATATTAATAATAATAAGGGAAAAAAATTTTTTAATAATAATAATTCTTTTTGATTTTTATTTACATATGAATTTGTTTATATAATATATTTTAATAATAATTTATTAACTCACTTCGTTACATTGTACATAAATTAATATATTTCATGTATATATTTATGGGTTTTTTTTTTTAGGGGGGAAGGGGGCGCAAATAATTTGGCAATAACGTCATGTGATTGATGATAATGTTTATTTGATTTTTATTGTATTTTTTAAAGAAAATAATGATAATAATTTATTCTAAAAGTTGTGTGTTTTCTTTGTGTTTGATCTATAACTGTTTTTAGTTTTGTTATGAGTATTCCTAATCTGTTAAAAATTTTCATATTCAAATCAATTTTTTTGTTCCCCCCCCCCATAAAAATAAATTCTATAAGGGTGGGTAAGTATGTGTCATTTAGTATCAATACTATATATATAAATCTAGTTAGAGAAAATTTAAAATTAATATTTATTTACTAATAATAAATCATACTTATTTTTTTTGGTTATTGTTACTTTTAGTTAGTTTTATACATTTTATACAGTGACGACCGTTAAAAATTAAATTTATATTATTGTAAATAAAGTGATAAATTCATTTGATAATACCGTGTAGCCTAAATGCTACAACCTTTTCAACCCCTCCATCAACCTATTAAGTTTTTATAGTCACCCTTTTAATTTTTAATTTCTTTGTGTGATGTGTTAATGTAAATATATTAAAATTTTCAGAACCTAGAAATTTTTTTTTTGTTACTCATAAATGAAAATTATAAATAATAAATAAATTTTTTAAAGAATGATAAATTTTATATATAAAATTTGGTTTTATAAAATGTATGTATTATCATTGACATTTTGCCACTGTAATAGTATTTAGAGTCTCTGTCTCAAGAATTTCATGGTGACTCTTTTGAATAAAGAAAGTCAAACAAATATTTTCCAACAGTTCCTTGTCTCAAAGTTCTGCAGATATTCTTCACTAATTAAATTCAATATATCGGAAACAAGGGCAGGCCTGAGAAATTTTACATTTCAAAAGTCGACTTTAGAGCTAAACAAACTCTCAAACAAGAAGACGAGTCCCAAAACTGAACTTTAGCAAGGCATGTGAGTTGGAAAGTGTTCAAAGAATATGCCTTATCCATCCATGATTTTACATAGCTAGCCTAGTAGCAAATAATCAACCTATTAGTTGCGATAACTCCAGTTCAAAGTTGATTAGTTCTGTAAGCGATAAAACAAGACTCCAACAAAAGCATCCATGTCAATCAATTTAATTTGATTTGTATCCATCTACTCTCAATACTGTTCTTCTTGAACAGAAAAGATTTAAGCTGGAGGGACAACATTTCCCTTCCTACCAATATGAACATTCATTGACTTTTGATCTTTTTCAGGTAACATAAGCTTTAAGTGTAAGTTTTAATTCGAGATTTTTCTCAAACCAATCATGGGAGTACTTTTCGAAATGAAAACACTTCTTGAATTTGAAACCCTCAATGACTACTGTCTTTTCAGTTAAAAAATCATATACATAACACACATCCATATTGTATTTGATATTGTTAAATTATAAATCTTAATCAGAGTATTTTTCAAACTGCGAGTAAGTGTAAAGGTTACTTATTTTGTTAATGGTACTTATTTGATGAATCCCAATTAATCCTTTACAATCTATTTCACTCCAAACTTTCTCAGATTTCTTCAGTAAATTGATCCTAAATTTTTTCCAAAAGTTGGAAACCAACCAAAAGAATTTCATTCAAATTTTAATTATTCCCTGATCTCTTTACAGAAAAAATAACCCATTTTTCTAAATTTGCATAAAAATTTTTTGGAAACCCAAAGAAATAAACTTTGATTTACCATTTTGATAATTGGGATTATTTAAAAATAAAATTGACAGAAGCATGTTAAAATAAAATACATTATAGTCAACATATAAAAGAATTTAGTAGGGCATACAAAGATCAAATTAACCAATCATAAAATTTTTTACAAAGAATAAAAACTTACCTTTTTAACTGTTGCACTGATTTACAAAAAAAAAAAACTATATTCACACACTTACATAAAATAAATTAATTTAAAAAATTATGTAACAGAATTAACCGACTGAAAATTCAAAATTCAAAACTTCGTGTCATTAAATTAGTTCTTGTACCACGTTAAATGATAATAAGAAAACACTTACAGTTTGAGCGGGTTTTTTTTTTGTGTAACTTCACTTCGATTAAAATGTTTTTAGATAAAAATAATAGCGTATCGTTTGATGTATCTCCCGCTGATTTAAATTTAGAAATAGATTTAAAAAGAAATGAAGTTAAATATCAAAATCATTCTAGTAGATTTTTATGTCTTAAAAAAGATTTTAAAAAACAATTCGCACACATTTATGCTGGGCGACTGAAAATAATGAAACAGAGAACCATCCAGGCCTGTTCAGCCAAATGGGGTATAAAATTTTGTACATAAAAAATATTTACCTCACACAATATGTTAAGTTCGTATAAAATGTATTTTAACTTTTACTTAACAGGTAGTCAAATTCCTATTCGCAAGCTTTCTGAATTGGCTGATGAAAGTAAAGAGAAATGTATTGTTATTGGTACATTATTTAAACATCAGGAGCTAAAACCCAGTGTGTTAAAAGAAATATCTGAAGAGCATCAAATTACACCTCAACCAGTATTATCAAAATTCATATCTGAAAATGATCAATTAATTTTAGAAGATGAAATGCAAAGAATTAGGTTGATTGGAAATTTTAATATAAAAAATT